AGTCCATGGAATCAATGCCAGCCTTCCTCAGGGTTCTCTACCTATTTCTGTTCTTTATTAATGATCTGCCCAAGAACATACTCCGATCTTTAATATATATTTATGCAGGTGATACAACAGTGCACCACCAAAAATCTGGATATCCAGAACCTAGCTAGTCCAATAGGGACTGACTTGTAAAATTCAATACGCCCAAAACCAAACTGAGCGTATCCTGAACTTTCACCACGTGACTTCTCTCAAATAAGCCCCTTACCTTGGAACTCTATTGGGATCCATGTTCATCCCACGCCTCAAGAGGAATATATACACGAACTATTGCTAAATATGGGAGGGGGTCGGTTCATTGTACAGTTCCTGACTCTCCCTGCTACGCGTTATCTTTACAAGAGCCAGATCAAACCAAAAATGGAGTATTACTGCCATATGTGGACTGAGGCCACCCAGTCCTCACTTGCCTGTCTTGATAGATTTCTGAAGCCTCTACGTAGCCTTGCGATTGATAAATCAATTTACACCCTTCAACCCCTTTCGCACAGACTAAACGTCGCATTCCTCTCGCTGCTTCATCGCTATTTCTATGGCAAGTATTCTGTCGAGCTAGATTCCTTGGTTTCACCGGTTCTGACCTTTGCAGCTGGTGGTAACCGCCATGCCTCGTACACAGGGGGAAATCCTTCTCATCGTATTCCATTGGTAAGGAAAAATATCAATCAGTTTGTTTTCAAGAACTGTTAATTTGAGGAACAGACCCCAGAGAGGATGCTTCCTCGATCACCCTGACATTAATCTCTTAGAGTCAACCGTTGTATACCATACATATCCTCATGCTATGCACTTCTTACTTCTACCGTTTGTATACAGTATCTATCAACCTTGAGTGCCTCTTGAGCCTTGTATTTGGTGAGCAGTAGAATAAAAATCCCACTTCTCACACAACTGCAACTATTATTATTTCCTTTGATTTATGTTGTATACCCATTTCCTTCCGGGTCCCAAACAGAGACCTAAGGTAAGAAATGGTATCATGGTATTTTCGACTGACTATTAAAAAAAGGACAATCTATAACCATAAACTATTTACCTAGATAAAGCCCTTCGTAAGGTGTGAGCTCTACTTGTGAGTACAATTATTTGCATATATTTAAGAATTATTATTATTGATGATGTTGTTAGTGTTGAGATTAGTAGGTCTAATGACTAGAATGATGATTATGAAGATAGGGATAAAGATGTTAGCAATATAAATGAAATCGCGACAAGAATGATAAACATGACGACGATGAAGCGAACAAAATAATGGTGATGTTCATAAAATACCCAATGACATTATTGAATGCCTTGTTGAGCCTTTATGAGCGATTAGTTTCGATACGGGTGATTTAAAGGCAATCATATTTGATGTGTCATGTTTTATTTTTATTTTTATCTTTGGCGATAAAAAAAAAAAAAAAAAGACAGGGTTTATTCGTTTCGTTTTGGTCGATTTCATTTTTGCCTTTACCCAAAATTGCGTCAGCTGATACTTCAGCGACACGTAGAAAGAAAGAAAAAGAGAACATGAACAATTTTTAAAAGCAGAAAAGAAAAGAAGAAATTTTTGAAAGAAAGAAAAGATGGGCAAAAAAAGGAAAAGAAAAAATGGAATTCGAATAAAGAGTTATACTAGAAAGAAAAAAAGCAACAAAAACAGTCATAATAAATCAGATTAGGACACAACTTTTTTGAAGAAAGAAAAAATAAGTGAAATAAATTGAGTTGTAAAAACGTTTGTAATGAAATAATGAATGAAAAACTTAAAAGTTGAATGAAAAAGAAAAAAATCAATTTAGAAAAAAGAAAGAGAGAAAATTACAAATGGATGGAAAAAAAAAATAATGAAAATTGCGAAAATCAAGCAACAAGATTGTAAAAATCTACATTCAAAAAATTATATATATATATATAGTTTATTTATTAAACCGACAGGTTTTGTCCCTTTAAACGCTATATATAATGGATACATATATTCGAGTAGACGGGCCGGTTATTTATTAAACAACATAGTTATATATAGATAAATATACGCTTTCCTGTAGGATTCGAACCTGCGTAGCCCTGGATAGAGAGAACCATCGCCAGATCCGACATGTTTTAACCGACTCGGCCACGAAGAAGCTTTGCCGATGAAGCAAGGCTGAATAGTGCCTTTAAGCGAAATCTCTCTCACGTCATAGACTCTCTTTACGTTAGGATTCGAAAATGAACAATTATGAAAATTCCGAGGGGATGTGCTTTGTGGTGGAATGAGAAATCGAAGAGCCGAGTTCGAATTCCAGTCGATTTCGTTTACATTCACTTACGCACAAATAACCTTGGTAAAGGTATAAAAGCTTCTCCCTCAGAGCTATGGGTTGAATAGCAGGACAGACTGGGTCGAGACTTGGTTGGCAACCAGTCTACCGCAGAAAGAAATAGCAATCTACTGCCGGAAAAAAAAACCTGCCTAGGCAGTCAGGAATCGAAAGAGACGTGGTCGCCTAACCGTGTATCATGTATTGCACTTGACTGATATAAATTTTCTATATTTATGAGTGAATAGTGCTTAATATCGGAGATACTGCTTTTATGGATATAGATTGTTTGGGTATAGTCAATTCACCGTCTTAGTTCTTATATTCAGACTATCTCTTCCTCTCTCTCTCTCTCTCTCTCTCTCTCTCTCTTACTTCATATCTCTCCACACTCATTCACCCACTCCTAGTAATATATATATATATATATATATATATATATATATATATATATATATATATATATATAAAAAAGGTGTTCCAATAACTTGGACCGAATTTAAATGTGAATTAAGTTTAAGCGTCTCATGATTTTTTTCTTTTTCTTTCAAATTTAACAACTTAAGACTTTGGCTATTTCAACAATGTACAGATTAACAATTATAAAACGTGTTAAAGTTTCAAGAGAGCAATTAGAAAAAATGTTCGTAAATTCAAACAAACTGGGTCGGTGGGAGATGTGAAAACCCCATTGCGTGCTCATTCACGTCGTTCAGCTGAGAACATTGCTGCAGTGCACGAAAATGTGTCCGAAAATCCAAACACCTCTCTTCGTCATCGCGCACAGGAATTGAACCTCTCTAGAACAACGTTACATCGTTTCCAATTGCACTCTCGGTTAGTCGATTATGTTGACCCAAAAAATCGCCAAGTGCGCGAAATTCATTTCTGTGTGAACGTCCATTTTCGTAATAGGCTTCGATAACTTTAATACGCTGTTTGATTGTTAATCTTTCCATGGTTGAAAAAAAATCTTTAGACGCTTAAACGTAATTCTCATTTAAAATCGGCCCAAGTTATTGGCACACCCTTTATATATATATATATATATGTGTGTATGTGTGTGTGTGTGTGTGTGTGTGTGTGTGTGTGTGTGTGTGTGTGTGTGTGTGTGTGTGTAGGCAGTGCTAAAAAGTTCTCGGCCTTACTAAGAAATCCTGCTAGGTTATTTTTTTCATGTTTCGAGAGTTGGTCAGATTTTTTAAAGTAGGCCAAGCCGAAAAAATTTCAGCATACTCTCGGAGATAGAAGTTGCTACGTAGATTACTTTTAAAGCATTTTTTCTAGTTCTACTTAAAACTTTCACCTCGAAAGATGAGACTCATGTTCGAGTGTCATTTCTTTTATGTCACTTATTGATGAACAAGAGCTTGAAATTCTCTTCGGTACATTCCATATTTTTAATTTAACTTTGCTATCAGCAGTAAAGTAGGAAAAAGTATTTTCATAAAAATAAAAAAATAAAACAGATTGAAATTTAAATGAAGTTGACTTAAACTTGAAAAAAAAATGTCACTTTTTTCGTAATGGAAACCTTTTTTCTTCTAATCCATCTCTGGTTTATTCCATTGATCCAACCGTTCCTCATTTTATGCATCCTGATGCAGGGAGGGAAACCACTCCAATCCTGATCTCATTTGACCAGGGTTATATCTTTGTGCGTAATGCATCCATTAAAACCTCATTTGAAAAGCAAAAGGCCGCGATCAAAATGAAGAAGAGAGACGGCCAACGAACCCTTTCAACAAATCAAGCAAAAAGGGTCGATTAAGAAACAGCCACAAAGTGAATGGTCTAAAATGCTTTTGAAAAAAAAAGAGACGAAATAAGAAAAAAAAAAAGAAAGAGCAAAGGAGTAGCAGTTCTGTGTATGTCTGTGCGCATGCGCTTGCGTGTAGTTCTTATATCAGACAAAGCCAAAATGGCTAATTCAGGAAGATAAGCGAGCAGACTGGCAATGCAGACATAAATGGAAACTAAACTTCGCACTCTGATCTGCTATCAATCTTCATATGCTGCAGTGAATTTTGGATACTTTTCTCATAAATAAAGTGGATTGATTGATTGATTTGTTTGTTTAATGGCATTTCAACACCTTGTGGGTCATTTAATGCCAAAATGTAAATTTCTAGGGAGCTTTGAAGTAATACAAATATGTTATTCTGCTTTCACAATTGAATACATGGTAGATGATACACATCTTTAGTGCATATACATGTTGATGTGTAGCGAATGTCTGTTTTCTGCTTGAACACAATCTTCTATCCCTGATTTTGACCACTTTTTACCTTAAAACTACATATATATATATATATATATATATATATATATATATATATATATATATATATATATCCACATGTCCATAAGATTCCTCTCCCCACACCCATAATCTCTAAATGAGAGGAGGAGACAGTGCAGAATTGTCAAGTGTTTAGATCTTCACCAAATTAACCGAGTTTGACAAAAGCTCACTCTTGTTGTGCACCTAGTGAGGATCGGCAAACTGGATTGTTGAGAGTTGCTAATCTTGGATTAGTGTGGCTCAAGGCCCAATCGAGAAACTGGGCATCGGAAGATAGTCCACACTTGCAAGTAAGAAGTGCCTGCTTGCCTTGAAAATCAGACTTCCAAATTTTCGTATTTAACAATCCTGTACTTTGACCTATGGAAACTAATGGAAAATACAGATTTCTCTCTCTCTCTCTCTCTCTCTCTCTCTCTCTCTCTCTCTCTCTCTCTAAGTTATTACGACACAAAGCTACAGAAATAAGACACCTAATGAGAATAGAACACTATACTAATAAATCCTACTGAGAAACAAGGTGAAAATGTATTTTATTTATGCTATGTATTTCTCTATAAACATATCTATCTATCTATCTATCTATCTATCTATCTATCTATCTATCTTTATATCTCCCTCTCACACGCACATAAAAATAATTGTTACACATTATTTTACACATATATACACACAAATACGTACACATACGATTTCTTTGAGATATACATATTCATGTCAAACAAGCCTTTAAATTTATCACCAGATTCATTTCTACACGTTTCCTACAAAAGCATCAACAAAAACGCACATTGAAGATGTATATGCACATATACACACATTTAATAAGCCCTGCATACACAAGGTGCCGCGCATTCGTTTACGGATGTGGGTGACCGACAGCTCTTCTGTTCACTGCCGGTGCGTCTCGTTGACTTGCTGAAATATTGTCAAACGCGGGCGGCTTTTTTCCGCTTGACTTCCTATCATGGCTCATTGAGAAAAGTGAAAATCGCTCTCGAGGGGGATCGAAAGGCAGCGAATCGTATTTGATGATGACATTATAGCTGGTACCGATCGAGTAAATGAGTTGGAGGAAGCAGGTGAGAATTAAAACGAGGTTGTATCTTTATTTATAAAGCGGGTAGAGAGATTGGGAAAAAGGCGAAAGAAAACGGGATAATGTACAAGGACAGACGACAACAGGGAGAGTCACTAGGCTTTTTTTATATTAGGGAGAAGCCCACAAATATTTTTAGTTTTTTTTTTTTTTTTTAATCTTTTTTTGTCAATTATTTTTAGCTGAGTTGATTTAATTTCGTTTGCTTATTAAAAATTAGTGGCGCATTCTATCATTTATGGTTATATGGAGAAATGCCTCTTTCTCTATATATTTCTCTCTCTTTCTCTATATGGATTTCGCTCTCTTTCACGTTCTCTTTCTCTCTATTTTCTCTATTTTTGTATCTCTCTATCTTTCTATGCAGATTCCCCTCTCTCTTTCTGTCTTTCACTCTTTCTTTCTCTCTATTTTTATCTCTTTCTCTCTCTATCATTTTCTTTCTCTATATAGATTTCTCTCACTTTCCCTCTTTCTTTCTTTCTCTCTCTCTCTCTCATTCTTTTTCTTTTTCTTTGTATTTTTCTTTCTCTATCTCTCACTTTTCTATATAATTTCCCTCTCTTTCTCTCTCTTTTGCCATCTCTCTTTTTCTCTGTTTTTATCTCTTTCTCTCTCTACCTCTCTCTTTCTCTCTATAGATTTCTCTTTCCCTTTCCATTTTTCTATCTTTCTCTCTCTTTCTCTCTCTTTCTCTTTCTCTCTCTATTTCTATCTTTCTCTATCCAACTTTCTCTATCCATCTTTATCCATCTTTCTCTCTATCTTTCTCTATCTTTCTGTACATGCGTGTGTTTAAGAAAGGGAGTGGGAAGAAACAGATAGATCAAAAGATAAAAAGAACTTACAAGAAGATAAAGGAAAAGGAGACTAACATAAATGTAAAAAAAAAATGATGTGGCGAGTGACCAAATTTTAGTTGCTTAAAATTGAAATGAAAGGACAAAAGAGACAATGGTAGAATAAAGTGGGTGGGAACTGAACGCGAAAGACGGATTCTTGGAAAGTGATCCGAGAAAATAAAGAGCATAAAATACATAGCACATGGGGCGTAATACGAACAAAGATGTAAGACTAAAAAGCGTGATGAATGAATAACTAGTTGTATAAAGGAAAAATAAATGACATTTAAAAAACAGATGAAGATATTTATATCGGCGTAGGTTGGGCTGAAAATGATTTGTGGTAAACGACAGGAAATACAAAAAAGAAAGAAAGAATGATATTAAATATACAATGAAAACAAGAGTCTTTGAAAAGAAAGAAAGAAAGAAAGAAAGAACGAAAGAAAGAAAGAAAGAAGAAAAAGGAAAAAAGAAAGAACGAAAATATTAGGGCTAAATTATTTTCTTAAGAAACGAAAAGATTTAAACAAACAATAAGAAAGGTAGATATAAAAGAAAGAAAGAAAGAAAGAAAGAAAGAAAAAGATACAGCAAAAATATTTGGGCTAAATCATTTTTTTAATTGAAGAACCGAAAAGATATATATAAACAATAAGAAAGTTAGATACAAAAGAAAGAAAGAAAGAAAGAAAGAAAGAAAACAAGAAACAATAAGAAAGTTAGATACAAAAGAAAGAAAGAAAGAAGCAAAGAAAGAAACAATAAGAAAGGTAGATACAAAAGAAAGAAAGAAAGAAAGAAAGAAAGATAGAAAGAAAGAAAGCAAGAAACAAAGAAAGAAACAATAAGAAAGTTAGCTACAAAAGAAAGAAAGAAAGAAAGAAAGAAAGAAAGAACGAAATAAACAAACAAACAAACAAACAAAAAAACAAAGAAGCAAAGAAAGAAACAAAGAAAAGATGCAGCGAAAATATTAGGGCTGAATCATTTTTTTTAATTTAAGAAGCGAAAAGATATAAACAAACATTAGGAAAGTTAGATACAAAAGAAAGAAAGAAAGAAGTAAAGAAAGGAAGAAAGGAAGAAAGAAAGAAAGAAAGAAAGAAAGAAAGAAAGAAAGAAAAAGAAATGAAAACCTTGATGAAGAAAAGAATTCAAAACGCAACAACGAGATAGGCAGAAAGAGAAACAAATGCAGATTTATTCAAAAATGAGAAAGAAGACATTGATATTTGGTGCATGCACCATTTTTTTTATTTTTATGGACTAACGTTGAGGAGATACTATAAAAAGGGGGGATTAAGAGAGAGCAGAAGGGATTATTTTTGAAAAAAGGCGAAAAGATACAAAAACTGACAGACTAATTGTGATGAATGATAATGTCGTTCGGTCATCTGTGCTTCTTAATTGGACTGAAAAGACAAGAAAGTAGTGCGGTGAGAAGGTGGGGGGTGAACGGTGTCTTTTCGGTCCGTTGGTGGATACATTTTGTATCTAGTGTATTGAAGGAGATAATGAGTAGGACCGAATAACAAAATCAAGTCGAATGTTGAAAATTAAAAGAAAAATTAATTCGTTAGAAACAAAGAAAATAGTGCTGGATTGCTATGTGATATCCATCCTCGTATATGACGGTGAATGTGGGACAATCCTCCACCAGATGAGGAAAAAGCTGGTCAATAGAAATGTGGTTCTACAGAAGAATACTGAGAATTCCATGGACAGAGCGAGTAAGCAACGAGTATGCCTTAAAGGAAATAGCAACAAAAAACTTATAGAATCAGAAAGAGAGAGCTGAAATTCTTTGGAGACATAATTAGGATGGAGGGCTTGAAAAACTTAACCCTCACAGGGCATATTGAGGGCAAGAGAGATAGGGAATAGCAGTGAGCATCCTACCTGATGAGCTTGTGTAAATAAATGACGGAATGGGACAGAAGTCTTAGTAAATGGAGAAAAACTGCTAATGGTCACAAGAAATAGGAAATTTTCGATCGTTTATGTCTCTAGCAACATGCACAATTTATTATTCTCTATTAAAGCTCATGCATCCGTTATAGATTTTTTCAATTCTTAGGTTGAATACTACTGGCGCCAACCTTTGGACACCTTACGAGGAAGAATACCTACAGGTTCTCAATTGAACCGAGGTTAGAAGAAAATGCTCACCAACTTATAATTTCAATGTTTTGGTTCTGAAACTATTGTGTTGTGCTGTGTGACCGATGGATTGGAGCTTAGTCTTGTTGGGACTTCCATTTTACACCAGCAAGTTTGGCACCGGATAAAAGATTCTGCTATCTGGCAAGACTAGGGTGCGTGTATATGAAGGCTGCCAATGTCTTTCCAAATAGTCCAAATTCTAAACTGCGCGGAGAGAGCAGAAAAACTCACTCAACATTAGATTTTCAAAAGCAAGAAAACCTCCATGACTAACAAAACTCCAAAAGCAACAACAATTGAATTTGGAAAACAACACAGTTGAAGGAACAATATAAGCCTGTGATGTGTTCAAACGAAATGAATTTCAATTTGTATTGTCCTAATAGGCTTGCTTCCTATTGATCTGCGCAATTTGGGTCAAATAGTTGTATGAATATGGTAATGGATAACGATTCAGAATGAAAATTTCCAGTAGCAAATTCCCTTGGGGAAAGTATGAATCCATTCTCTCTCCCAATTATGGGTTAAATAGTACGACCTCTATCTCAAAAAATAATTGTTTTCTATATAAAAATGTTAATGTCTGTCTATATTTTTTAGATGAGGTATTATAGTTATTTACATTATCGAACTGTTGTCCTCATTTTCATTACCATATTTACGACGTTTCGACCATTTTACGCTCCGGCCTTCTCCAGGTGATTAGAATTTCGAACTAAACCCTTTATTTCGTTCACTGAGATAGGTTGTTCTAGTTCCATGTGCCATGCCTCTCCCGGATGTTATATCCCTTTAACTCAACTTCTCAAGTTTTGTTTTTTATAAGATGATCAGTGTTAAACATAATTCACCGCCATATTTCATATCAGTAAGAATGCAGCTCATATTGGTTTTGAATACTGTATAAAATAGATTTTTATTACCAAGTTTTTTTCGGCTCAAAAATGGCGTTCGACTTGATCTCGAGACTCAAAATAGTAAACTCTGCGTGTAATCGCTGCAAACGAACTGAAACAGGTTCTAATTTTGCAGCTTCTTTCGCTGTTGTATCTTTCGCATATTAACCGATATTTTGCATCGATTCATTCATGCATGGATCCGTACTTCTGTCCAGGATAAGAATATCTGTGCACTCTGCCTAGAATCAAAGTTTTACCCCCAAGGCACTTCTGCCTAAAAATACGTTTCTCTCCTCAGTCGTATTTTTGTACATCAGGCGAGACGCCGCATCATGATCTTGCTTTGAGCAATACCCAGCATATCACGAGTGCCGGAGTGATCACTTGTTGGTTCCTTGTACAGCTCCAGTAAGTATCTTACTCTTCCTCATATAATCTACCTGCGATATATAGGCTGGGGCTGCCCAGTCTTCACTATCCAGTCTATCAAGATTTTCAAGTCCTGGGTATGATGATAAACTACATCTGGCAGCAAGGTCTCAGATCGGGAGCTTTTAGGAGCGTGGAACCACCTCTTAATTGCTGTTGTTCCTAGATCCACCCTGACCCGGAATTTAGCGTCCCAGCTATGGCCAAATTGTGAACGCCCAAACAAAATAATATGAAAGTATAGAATTACAATTTTATAGTAAAAATACCAGCAACATAGTTTTATATAAAATATTAACAGCAATACATATTTATAGTAAAATTACCAACAATACATATTTATAGTACTACGAAATAATCAACATGAAAGAAATTTCCATGATATTAATCCATATAATATCCTAAAATTTCTTAAAGAAATCAAACTGTATTCCAAAATATAGCATATATTCCATAACTACAACATAAAACACATATATCACCGCCTCTAGTAGTTATGTCCTTACAAATATGCATATACACAAAAGCTGACTATCATCTACCATGTATTCAATTGCAAAAGCAGAATGAAATATATCATATTTTTATTACATCTAAATTCCCCTCAAAAATTAAATTTCGGCATCAAAAGACCCATAAGGAATTGATATGCCGTTAAACAGACAAATAAATCAATCCCTACTTTCAAGTATATCAAATTCAAAAGTCGACCCAGTCTTCCCCTTCAAGCATATCACGTTCAAAAGCGTCTACGCGGCCTTGTAGGTGATGAATTATTTTCCACCCTACAGCACGTTCTCCACAGATGAAACATTTCAAACCTTTTAATTACTCTATGGCTATTTCCGTGGCAAATGTTCTAACGAACTACATTCCTTAGTTCAACCAACTCTAACGCTGTCATGTAAAACCCTTCATGCCACACACACTAAGTCGAACCAACCACATTCTCTTTGTATTCCATTAGTAAAAAAGAAGTTCCACTCGAACAACTTTTCCCTCGAACTGCTACTTTGTAAAACCGACGCTCAAAAGGATGCTTTCCTGAGCCCTACAACCTTTATCTCTGCCAGTCTAAACAATCATATGCATACAACTATTCAATGATTAAAAATGGTTTCAAACGAATAAATTGTTTAAATCCTAAAAAAAAAAGTTATGATCTTTCATTATGCCGTATAGACAGGCGCCAAAAACTTACAAACCACATCATTTGATCATTTCCAACAGCAACAACAAAGATGGTTAGCGCATGTAACTAAAGAGAAAATAATGCTATAATCAAACTGCTATCTAAATCTAATTACAGAAATAACTGTTTTAAGATTTTATAGCCGACAGTAACGCTATTTGATGAATGAATGCCGAATGTTTCCTGTATGGGAACATATTTTTTTTTCACCATTACCATTGCGATTTAGTCTAACGCTCTCTGTCTCGATTTATAAGCGACAGCTTACTTCCGGTGTAATTTCGATACGATGAAATCACTCGAACTTCTAAATCGATCTTTTTCATATTTATTAAACTTAATTTGATGAGACATAAAGTGGAAAAGGTTGTTTCTCTTCAAAATCACCATTCAAAATTCTAGATTTTTACCCAGGTTTGAACATTGATAAATAATGCCGAGGCGAAATATTACTATTTGCCAAATATCTGTCATTACATAACTCAAGGAGAACGATAGTGACCAAATATTTTGTAACGGTTTTAGTGAGGGTTCGAATTACAGTTGAAGTCTAACACTTCGCCTTTTTTTTTGTCTTATTTTGTTTTCGTTTTTCTTTTATTTTTATAACCTTAAACGAAACTTTTTTCTTTCCTTTTTTTTAACAGTAGTGTAAAATCGACAACTATCAAAAATATTCCGTCACCTAAAAATAAAAATTTAGAAATTATACCCGTTTTTATATATATATGTGTGGGGGGGTGTATGTGGGGGGTGTTTGTTCGGGTGTGGGGGGTGCGGCTCGGCAAAAGAAAACAAGCCGAATTCTTCTTCGCTACAAAATCACAAAGAACTGTGCCAAGTCATCTGTTACTTTGTACACATCACTTGAGGTCTTTCAATAAGAACAACAACTAAAATAAATATCATTTGTAAATCGAAGAGAAAAGGATGGCATAATGGCGATGCTGACGTTCCACATTACTTGAAGCAAGAGATTAGAAAGAAAATCCCAATCAGTAAAAGAAAGAGCTATAACAGTTGGCGAATACGAGTGAGAAGCGAATATGAGTGAGAAAAATTTTCCTGAAAAAAAAAACAAAGCTGTTTTCGTAGAAAGTTTTTATAAATTTCAACCTAAAGTAGTACTGGTTGCTCTGTCATTCAATGATTACCATTTTCGCGCAAATGCTCTTGGGAAATATATAAATTGATCCCAGTCCCTGTCAGGTATTTTCACTTGCCTTGATGTGGCAACCAATCTAAGAGAAAAAACTCTGAATATAATTCTGCTGTGGTGCATCTTGCATCGCTGCAACCCGAATGGGTTATTTGTTTTGTTTGCATTTCTATCATGAGTAATATCCACAATACGTCCATAAACATTAACCTCTTGATGGTGTTTATTAAAACATATTTCGCTGTTATAACAGTGTTTATTGCTGCAATACAAAATCAGTAAAAAAAATCGAGTACTCATACATTTCCAAAATATATGAATACTCGATTTGTTTTGTGAAATCCACCAAGATTTAAGATTTCAGAATGGTGACGGTGGAGTAATGGATAGCGGCTTGGATTGAGTAATCGGAGAGCTGAATTCGAATTCCAGTCGAATCCATTACATTACATTCACTTGGAAAAGGTATGAATCCCCTTCTCCCCCCCCCCAAGCTATGGATAAATAGCAGGACAGACCGGGTTCTATAGCCTTGGATGGCAACTGGTCTACCACAGAAAGAAATGGCAACCTACTGCGAGGAAAAAATCTGAGTCGTTAGTCATGTATCGAAAGTTACATGATCGCCTACGCGTGTATCACGCATGACACAACTGACTGATGATTTTTGATTGATTCAATTTTAACGACTTATCAACCCCTTTTCAGGTTATTTAAAGCCAGAAAATATTTTTAGATTGTATTCCTTTTTTAGATAACAATGATTTAATGATACAAATTTTACTAATTAACCAATCGCTGTGGGGTATGAGGTGGATTCATACCTTTTCCTTGCGTAAATGAATATCATGAACCCAACAAGAATTGGAACTAGACGATTAAAATTTACGAGCCCTCATTGATTACACAACTCACACATCTAAGCTTACAGCACCTGGTATTCCCAAGCGGTCACCCATCTAGTTACTCACCAGGCTCAGTGTTAGTTTAACTTCGGTGATCGTACACGAAACGGTGTCAAAGCGTGGTGTATCCGTATGAGGATAGGGTATGGTTCAATAAATAGTTTAAATCAATTATAATTTATTGCTGTCAAAGGCGCCATTTTGGTCTTTCACAGAAATTAGCTTAAATTCTCGCCCACAGGACGAGATCTCAGGATTTTAAAAACCCATGATTCTCTTTGATAGTCTGTCATTCTATTTCGGTTTCTTACTATGAAAACCGCGCATTCGGCAAATAGCCTTTATGAAATACTACATTTAGTTGATGTAAGGGAGGCTGTCCTCTTATATGATTCTTGATGTGGTTTAGGATGAAACTTGGGGACAGATAATTTATTCATTACGCTATGCTGTTGGAGACACGGACATAAATCTAATTGCCTTCAGTGATTCTAACCGTAACGTTTTATCGTATTTGTATGTGTATTAACCCGTGTCACAATTTCTCTCTTTCTATCTCTCTTTCTCTCTCTCTTTCCCCCCCTCTCTCTCTCTCCCCCCCCCCTCTCTCTCTCTCTCTCTCTCTCTCTGGTTTTTGCACAATCTCTTTCTCTCCTTGCTTCTTTGATATCTCTCTCGACCGTTTATTTTCATTTGCCTTTAATCTTTTCCTCTCTCTCTCTTTCTCTCTCTCTCTCTCTCTATATATAATATATATATATATATATATATATATATATATATATATATATATAAAAAAGAAAGAACAAATGGAGTGTAATTCGAAGTGGTTTGAAATCGCCTGAGGAGACACATTTGTGGTGTTGAAACATGATTTTAATTGTGTAGAAATTTTTAACATATTTTTGTTTTAATATCCTAAAATAAATTATATATATATATATATATATATATATATATATATGTGTGTGTGTGTGTGTGTGTGTGTGTGTGTGTGTGCAAAATCAAAAGTGCTAGTACAACCAACAAAAAAGCCTGATAGATGACTAAAAAAAAAGTTAAACAGTAACCAACAGGTTATTAAGACATACCAAAAACGCTTTACAACGTCACACCTCAAAAGAAGTGTGATCTCTAACTGTCTATCGATGTATCTAAATATATATATGTATCAGGTCATCCCATAAGTTCTTTTTGTTAAAATGAACGAAATTTAAAGAGTATTTTATAATGTCTAATGGAGATGAACATTATTTTTATGTTTAGATGCATTTAAACTGATCAAATTTTATTTCAGAGAAAAATATAATTTTGTTTGATTAAAACCCTGCTAACATGGAAGTACCCAAGAATCAATTGAGGCACATAATGCTTTAGGAGTTCAAGAAAGGAAACTCAGCAGCCGAAGCGGCAAGAAACATTCACTCAGTTTATGGAGAGGAATGTGTGAATCAAAGAACTTGCAGAAGATGGTTTGCAAAATTCAGAGGTGGAGATTTCACCCTTGAAGATGAAGATCGGACCGGACGTCCAGTTGAGTTTGATGAAAAGCTTCTTGAAGCAGCCCTTGAAGAAAATCCTGCTTTATCAGTTGAGGAATTGGCAGTGGTTCTCAGTTCAAACCACACAACTTTTCATCGTCATCTTCAACAACTTAGAAAAGTTCCTAAACTTGGAAAATGGGTGCCTCATGAATTGTCTGAAAACAACCTCAAATCCCGAGTTGACATCTGCTCTTCTCTCCATTCTCGCCAACTTGTTTCACCTTTTTTGGATAGACTTGTGACTGGCGACAAAAAATGGATCTTTTATCGAAATGTTAAGCGTCGTAGACAGTGGCTAAGTAAAGAGGAAGGACCCCAGCCACAGCCGAGAAGAGAACTTCATGTGCAAAAGGTTCTTCTTTCAATCTGGTGGGATCGCCAAGGAATAATCCACTTTGAATTCTTACCACCTAATGCAACAATTAATGCTCAAATATACTGTCAGCAATTAGAGCGTTTGAACCAAGCTTTGAGGAAAAAAAGACCTGCTCTAGTGAATCGAAAAGAGGTGATGTTTCATCAGGACAATGCTCGACCCCACACAGCAAGAATCACGACACAAAAGATCGAAGAACTTGGTTGGGAGAAAATTCCTCATCCACCTTATTCTCCCGATCTTGCTCCTTCAGACTACCATTTGTTTCGTAGCTTACAGAATAATTTGGAAAAAACAACTTTTGTAACACAAGAAGAGGTTAAAACTGACATTTGTGAGTTCTTCGAATCAAAGCCAAAATAATGAATCCTAAATATAGGACGAAACAGCCGTCCACTGCTTTCTACATTCTGTTGAGGTTTTCTTCTAGACTCGATGAATTACTAAATTATAATACATACATACATATATATATATATATATATATATATATATATATATATATATATATATATATAGAAATCAGCCGATTCCGCTACCTTGGGTTTCATCCTTTCTGTATCTTGAGGGGATTTCGGTCAATTTCCTAAGGCTTTTTTTTAAATAATAAATTTATGAACGCTATATTAAAAAAGTAAATAAATGAATAAGCCCGCGACGTATGGTCTAGTTGAAGGTGGTGAGGAGGAGGAGGAGCGAAGGGGAAAATCAAGTGTATTGGAAATGTATTGGTCGGAAATTAACTAAAATATGCATACATTCTTTTTATCTCACTTCAAATTAACTCAAAAGGAAATTTTTAGTATCTATACAACGGGTCATAATTTCCAATCTCTGGTTAAAAAGTTTTTTTTTCGTCTGGAAATGTTATTATAGCTAATTTTTCTTGTTGACAAAGGTTACAGATGTTGCTATTATTGTTGGAAGGTTTTGCAACAATCCTATTGTAAACTGTAAAATTAAAAAAATATTTAATTTTCCAGTTTACAATTGGATAATTTTCTATAATTAAAAGCTCTACATGTTAATTTTTTTAAACTTTTTACAGTCATTTCTCGTTTCTTCACCTCAACTCATTCCATCCATTCTTGAACTTCGTCTTATTTTATTCTTTCTTGAATCATCATTCCCAGAGTCCCTTCTGAAATCGAACTCTCCTTTGCTCTCGCTCTTTCTCCCCTTTTGAACGCCCTGTCTTCTTAATATTTCCTTTGATATTAACTCCAACACTGACGGACTTTGTTCATACTGTATTTCTTCCTTTCGCATCATTGTTTGCTGTATTCGATATCGCTATTCTCTTCTCAAAGACCTTCATTTGATTCTTACGTACACCATGGTCTTGTTTTGTTTTTGTTTTTTTGTTTTTTTGCGGTCACTCTTTTCCCTCGATATATCATTTTCTTTTATTCATTTTATTGTCAAGTTAATTTTTCTTCACCTTCTTCATTCTTTTATTTTCTTTCTTTCTTTGAATTTTCACCCAGTTTTCTTTATTTCTTTCTCACTTTTTGTTCTTTTCGTTCTTTCTTTCTTATTACTCTCTCTTTTTTCTTTCTTTCCCCCTTCCTTCCTTCATTCTTTCTTGATTGCTTTCTTTCTTACTTCTCTCTTCTTTCTGCCTCCTTTCTTTCATTCTTTCTTGCTTGCTTGCTTTCGTTTTTATTTCTCTTATATTTCTCTCTTCTTTCTTTCTCTCCGTTTCTTTCTCTCCGTTTCTTTCTTTCTTTCTTTCTTTCTTTCTTTCTTGCTTGCTTGCTTGCTTGCTTGATTGATTGATTGATTGATTGCTTTCTTATTTCTTTCTTTCTTTCTCACTTTTTCTTCCTATCTCTAATTTTTATTTCTTTCTTTCTTGCTTGCCTGAATGCTTTCTCCTTTTATTTCTCTCTTCTTTTTTCTTTCTTTCTAGCTTGGTTGCTTTCTTTTTATTTTTCCCTTATTTCTCTATTCTTTCTTTCTATCCTCTTCCTTCATTTCTTTCTTTCTTTCTTTCTTTCTTTCTTGCATGCTTGCTTGCATGCTTGCTCGCTGATTGCTTTCATTTTTATTGTTCTCCTTTCTTTCTCTCCTCTTTCCCTCTTCTTTCTTTGTCTTGACTTTCTCTCTTTTGTCTTGCTTGATTACTTTCTTTCTTTCTCTCTTCTTTCTCTCTTCTTTCTTTCTTTCTTTCTCTCTTCTTTCTTTCTTTATTGGATGTTTGCTTTCTTTCTCGATTTTTTTTTTTGATTGGAAATGGATTATCTCTAAATTCTAGCGATATAGCACCATCGCGTAAACACCAACCAACCCGACCGACCACCAGCTAAACTAGAAAAAAAACAACAACATACGGTCACGTTCGTGCGCGCATACACCCCCCCCAAAACACACACCAGTAAACAAACAAATAAATACAATAACTCAACAAACAATATGGATTCAGAACCACACGTTCACCTTCTCGCAGTTGACAAGAGTTTTCTTCAGCAGCCTTCGTATCGTCGCCTGGCCCTGTAATTATCGACACTTTATGCCTATTCTCCCAATATGATGCCGCGTTTGATTTTGAATGCAGGACTTAGTTTTCATAGGAAAAACGATACATTTTATAGGACTGCAACGACAATCGACTGGCTACGCCTCGTTCTCCGATCTACGAGCGTTGAACATCGTTAATTCTAAGGGTAGCGTCTAATGGCCATGATAAAGATCAACTGACAGACAGGCGGACGTGCTAACCAAGAATATTGTTTGCCCCCCTCTCTCTCTCTCTCTCTCTCTCTCTCTCTCTCTCTCTCTCTCTCTTTAAATCTTTGCTATTTTTTATTTATTTTGTTATTGTTACTGTCTCGTTAGAGTGCAGAAATGGAAACAAATTTTATAGTCTCATCTGCTTATTGTTGTTACTTATAATAATAATAATGATGTACGAATTTGATTTTTTTTTTTTTTTGGTGGGATGGGGGAATTTTACAAGCACACTTAACATTTATCAATAAGGAATATGACTACAATAGCGGTAGTTACGATATAATGCAGTCGCTATTCTTGCATCAATTGTTTTAATTTGGCAATGATAAATTTAATTAATGCATGTAGTGCAAATGTTAACGGAAAAAGAAAATCGGTGAGCTAGGTTCGAATTACGGCCGAGATCGTTACGACCGTTTTCTTTTGAAAACATATTAATCACCCCCCGCGTCCAGCTATGGTTTAAATACCCGTATTGATTGATACTCTCTTGTCTTAAACTGGGAAATAGTCTAAGAGAAGGAAGACTCCAAATTTAAAACCAGCCTGAACAGAGATGCGCTCCGTCAGGCTATCTTGTTTGAGGCACGTCACTACTGCTATGGCTGAAGTACGTTTGGTGACTACTACAATCCTGATGGATTACAGGATTCGTAACATAATTTACACATAAAAATGATCATCATCATTCTAAGTTTGTTTGTTTTTTGGGGGGTTTTTTCCATTGCACTTTTAGAAATCCTGACTTATTCGTGAAAACATCAACTGCTAGAAAACAGAATGCATGGTTATTGGCAAAATAATTAGACTAAAATTCAAATTACAAATGAGAAAAAACAAGCACAAAAATTTAAATATCTGAAAAGTGTTCCAACAGAATACGGGAAATGTGACACTGAAATCCAAAGATGCAGTGGAATAGCGAAATATGCTTTCCAAAAACTAAACTGAGTATTAAGAAACAGAAAAACGTCGTTAGAAACAAAGAAATGAGTACTGAAATGTTACGTGATATCTCTCCTACTATGTAGCAGAGAATGCTTGACACTTTCCTCAAAGATGAAAAAGAGACCCTAAGCAACAATAATATGCTTCTACAGAATGATACCGAGGATACTGTGGACAGAATATGGGAACAACAATGAGGTTTTAGAGAAAATGAAAACTAAAAGGAAACTTGTACTTAACATCAGAGTGTTCAAATTTCTGTGGCACATAATGAGGGATGAAGGGTTTGGAAAATCTGTTACTCACAGGGCAGGTTGAGGGATAAAGAGGCAGATGAATACAACGCATAACATATTTGACGAGCTTGAGAAAATAAATGGTAGAACGGGATTTAGAAATAACAAAATTTATTTAGAGCTGCAAGGGCCAGGAAAGTGTGGAGAGCCATGATCGCCTATGTCCTGATGGGACACGTCACATCAAGAGAGAGAGAGAGAAATAAAATAAAATGAACGATATTATATAAACTGAACAATAATGGCCTTGGTTGATGACTGATCAGCTATTCCACTCTTGATATTTGCTGCTGTTTTATACATTCACACCATTAATCCTGGGTTCAAATCTCACTATGGTCGATTCGTCAAAGATGTGACTTCTTCATACTGACTCCCGAAGAAAAAGATTCAAGCCTGAGAAAAGTGCCTGAAAATCATACCACAGGTTTTCCCAAGGGTTGCTATTGAAACTGGGTCAATAAAACCTCTGAAGCCGTTTATATTTGTGTTAGATAGAAATCAAAAGTCAGCGTGACCTAGTGTTTGAGCGTATTGGCCTTGTTCAACAACAGATCATACCAGATTATGAGCTAATTTCCAAAAACTTTAAGTAAGGTCAACTCAGTGTAGATACAATGTAAACCACACGTTGGATCTGTGTGGAAGTTGAAGAAATGTGATTGAGCAGGTTTGCAACCGGGATTTGTAAGGGATCGAGCGAGCGTAACGAACGGATGTATTCGGAAGCGAGCAGTCAACCATTATGCAAAATGTGGTACAAAAGCTGATAAAAAAGAACGTGGATAGATAACTAATCCTGGCTTGTCTTTCATCAAGGTCTTCAACAGGAGTTAACGAGCCATCTTAGCGGTCAGATGTACTCGGAAGCGAGCAGTCAACCATTATGCAAAATGTGGTACAAAAGCTGATAAAAAAAGAACGTGGATAGATAACCAATCCTGGCTTGTCTTTCATCAAGGTCTTCAACAGGAGTTAACGAGCCATCCTAGCGGTCAGATGTACTCGGAAGCGAGCAGTCAACCATTATGCAAAATGTGGTACAAAAGCTGATAAAAAAAGAACGTGGATAGATAACCAATCCTGGCTTGTCTTTCATCAAGGTCTTCAACAGGAGTTAACGAGCCATCCTAGCGGTCAGATGTACTCGGAAGCGAGCAGTCAACCATTATGCAAAATGTGGTACAAAAGCTGATAAAAAAGAACGTGGATAGATAACCAATCCTGGCTTGTCTTTCATCAAGGTCTTCAACAGGAGTTAACGAGCCATCCTAGCGGTCAGATGTACTCAGAAGCGAGCAGTCAACCATTATGCAAAATGTGGTACAAAAAGCTGATAAAAAAAAACGTGGATAGATAACCAATCCTGGCTTGTCTTTCATCAAGGTCTTCAACAGAAGTTAACGAGCCATCCTAGCGGTCAGATGTACTCGGAAGCGAGCAGTCAACCATTATGCAAAATGTGGTACAAAAGCTGATAAAAAAGAACGTGGATAGATAACCAATCCTGGCTTGTCTTTCATCAAGGTCTTCAACAGAAGTTAACGAGCCATCCTAGCGGTCAGATGTACTCGGAAGCGAGCAGTCAACCATTATGCAAAATGTGGAACAAAAAAAGAACGTGGATAAAAAAATCAAGGTCTTCAACAGAAGTTAACGAGCCATCCTAGGATGTACTAGATAACCAATCCAAAAGCTGATAAAAAAAGAACGTGGATGATAACCAATTTCTTTCATCAAGGTCTTCAACAGAAGTTAACGAGCCATCCTAGCGGTCAGATGTACTCAGAAGCGAGCAGTCAACCATTATGCAAAATGTGGTACAAAAGCTGATAAAAAAGAACGTGGATAGATAACCAATCCTGGCTTGTCTTTCATCAAGGTCTTCAACAGGAGTTAACGAGCCATCCTAGCGGTCAGATGTACTCTAGGAAGCGAGCAGTCAACCATTATGCAAAATGTGGAACAAAAAGCTGATAAAAAAAGAACGTGGATAGATAACCAATCCTGGCTTGTCTTTCATCAAGGTCTTCAACAGGAGTTAACGAGCCATCCTAGCGGTCAGATGTACTCGGAAGCGAGCAGTCAACCATTATGCAAAATGTGGTACAAAAGCTGATAAAAAAAGAACGTGGATAGATAACCAATCCTGGCTTGTCTTTCATCAAGGTCTTCAACAGGAGTTAACGAGCCATCCTAGCGGTCAGATGTACTCGAAGCGAGCAGTCAACCATTATGCAAAATGTGGTACAAAAGCTGATAAAAAAACGTGGATAGATAACCAATCCTGGCTTGTCTTTCATCAAGGTCTTCAACAGGTGTTAACGAGCCATCCTAGCGGTCAGATGTACTCGGAAGCGAGCAGTCAACCATTATGCAAAATGTGGTACAAAAGCTGATAAAAAAAGAACGTGGATAGATAACCAATCCTGGCTTGTCTTTCATCAAGGTCTTCAACAGGAGTTAACGAGCCATCCTAGCGGTCAGATGTACTCAGAAGCGAGCAGTCAACCATTATGCAAAATGTGGTACAAAAGCTGATAAAAAAAGAACGTGGATAGATAGCCAATCCTGGCTTGTCTTTCATCAAGGTCTTCAACAGGAGTTAACGAGCCATCCTAGCGGTCAGATGTAAGCGAGCAGTCAACCAGCAAAATGTGGAACAAAAGCATTAAAAAAAACGTGGATACAAAAATCTGATAAAAAACAGAAACGAGGATCCTAGATAACTCAATTTACTCGGAAGCGAGCAGTCAACCATTATGCCTCGATAAAAAAAGCTTGTCTTTCATCAAGGTCTTC